TAGGGCAGCACTGTGGCGCAACTGGTAGAGCTGCTGCCTCTCAGCGAGCAGGTCCTTGGTTCAAACCCCAGTCCAGGGGCCTTTCTGGGTGGAGTTTGCATGTTCTCTCCGTGCATGCGTGGGTTTTCTCCGGGTGCTCCGGTTTCCTCCCACAGACCAAAAACATGCATGTTAGGGTGATTGGTAACTCTAAATTGTCCCTAGGTGTGAGTGAGAGAGTGAATGGTTGTTTGTCTCGTTTGTCTCCATTTGAAGAAGCGGGTAAAAGATAATAGGTGGATGGACGGATAATGGATGGATATTTTAAATAAAAATTCAATGCCGATCGCGCGGCTCATCCATCAATCAGCCAATCGTGTGTCATGTCCAATCTTACCTTGAAAAACTGCGATAGAGCGAGTAAGCGTGAAAAAAAAAAACGAACCACAAAGTAGCGAGGGACCACTGTAGTCATAAAGGAAAAAGCAGGTGTATATATAATGGATGGATGGATGGATGGATGGATGGATGGATGGATGGATGGATGGATGGATGGATGGATGGATGGATGGAGGAAGACTCTGATACTAAACTTACATGAAGCCAAGAATAACAGCTTGGTGAAAAAAACAAAAAAACACAGGTAAGGTGCACTAAATCAACTGCAAGCAATCAAACATAAACTAGTTAAAACAGGTAATTAGCAATAAATTATGACTTAAGAATTACAATGAACAATTATTTGTGAAATAATTTATCTGTTGGTTGGCTCAATAATTTACTTATCCATTAACACAACATCCAGCTGGAGGATGCAGCTAACATAAAATCCACAGCTGATGCAGAGCTGCTGTAAACTATTTATTTTGGGTGGAGATCCACCAGCAGCAGCTTATCCAAGTTAAACTTTCCAGCTCCTGTACAAACACACCCGACACCTCATCCACACCAAAGTACATTAAAAATGTCTAACTCGAAGGCATTCTAACACTGACAAGGTGCAACCTCTCCTCTACAACAACTGAACAGTTTAAAAGTAATTTTTATTAATTTAATGTTTCACACAGCACATAGGATCAAATATTTATAATCACATGACCATCTGTAGAAACAATTCAACTGTTTAGTTTTCCCACATTTTGTTGTTGTTTCTGTTTAGAGCATTACAGTCTTCATTTCCTTTATTAGAATTAAATGAAACATATACTGAAAAACACAGTCCAATTACTCTACTGGGACCAATCATACCTAATGTATCATCTTCTTGTCATTATTTTAATAACATTCATGTTACAATAATGTTGACTGCAAATAATTGCATTGAGCCAAATTAGGCTATCTGTATTTTTTCTTCAGAAGTTATATTATTTATCACCTTTTATGCAGGCCCCCTGCTTATTTTTGGATGGCAGCTCAGTTTTAGTTTTTTATGAATGAAGTTGGGTTCTGTACCTGTGTGTTGTCTGTTGAACCATCTTCAGTGGAGATGTCTGGATTAGAAACAGTGGTTTTCTCGGGCACGACCAGCTCCTCGTGCTCCATCCTTTGATGAGGTTGGATTGTTGGATGTGTTTCCAAATAGATGTTCTCTTCCCCACAGTGACCATTCAATGACTCCTGAGAGAAAGCCCAGTCTGTGTAATCCATGGGCATGCTCAGTCTGTGGTAACTCTTTTGAGCTCCTCCATCAGGTACTTCCAGCAGGCCACTCCTACCTTTTGCACTAGAGGCAGCAGGTTTATCAGGCAGTCTGGAATTACCATTGGATTTTGGAGGGTTGTATTCCTGGAGGTGCTTATTGGAGGAGACACTGTTGTACTCCTCCCTCATGCTGCTTATGTCTGGAACGGAGATGCTCATTCGATGCTCCAAGTTATGTTCGAGTTGGGCGGGAGGCTTGCTGGAACTTGCTTTGTTACGCCGAAGATGTGGCATCTTCAGGCGAAGACTGCGTAGCTTGCCAACTTTCTTGGAATCCATCATGACAGGGGGTTTGTGTCCAAGATTTGGAGATCAGTAACAGCTATAGTAAAAACAGAGAATGACAAATTCAGTATATTGGCAGCAAACTGTGGCATGTGTGAAGCCACAACCATGAGAACCTACACAGACCAGGCAAATCAGAAGTCATGGATGGCATCAGAGTTCATGGTCAACAATTAAGTCTAGGAAACAGCCTTCAGATCAGGAAACAAAGCAGCTGTTAAGTTTTGCACAACATGAGCTCCCCTGGGAGAGCTCAGGGAAATAAATAAATAAATAAAAAATCAAGGAAGCGGCTAAAGGGTAATCACATTTATTTTGTTATTTCAAGGACACAAAGCACATGAGGTAAAAGATACCAGCCAAAACAAACCATAAAGTCACTTCACAAGTTGTGGTCACTGATGTCTTTCTCAGTGACTATGTGGTTAAGGGAATTTAATGGCAGATTTGAGGCTTTGTATCATATATACTAAGTACGCAAACCACGCCCTCGGTGGTGAGCAGGTGCAGATGTGTACCTCTATCTTAAAGAGGACGTTGAAAAGACAATCCACACAAAGCCAGTGAACTAAAAAACATGTTTTTACTAGATATTTTTGACATCTCCCTCCAGCAGACTGTTGTACCAACACGGTTTAAAACTCACACTCCATCATACTGAGCTCAGGGGCCCCTCAAGGGTGTGTGCTCAGTCCTTTGCTGTTCACTCTGCTAATGAATGACAGAACTGCTAAATTCAGCACAAACCAGCTTATTAAACAACAGTGGTGGGACTCTTCTTCTATCATGCAGAGCTGAGGGGAGATGTTAGCAAGTTGGTCTGGAGACAATTGAAATTATGCCATCTGTCAATCAATCCAGTAGGCTCATCAGCAACTGACCAATCAGTAATTGCAATTTGTACCGAAGTGAAACGTCCCTTATTTGGAGGAACTGCACCCCCTTTTCCTCCGACAACATTGTCAAGTTTTTGCATTCCCGTACTTGCTGCCGTATACGTCGCATCACCCTATAAGTCACATCAGTCCAAAAATGTCTAATAAAGTGGGAAAAAAAACATAAATAAGTCGCTTCGCCATATAAGTCATATTTATTATGCGTCACCGCTGACCAACTGGAAGCGTGGGTCGGTGCCGTGCCAAAAATCGATTGGCTGCCAAATGGTGGCTGCGGGAGCATGCATGGGAGGACTTTAACAAGAATTTGACGAGATTAACACTTAAAAACAATTATTTGTTTGCTCAAAAGTTATAGCAAAGGTGTTTCTCAGTTTAAGTTTTCCTTAATAAATGCACTATATTGGTCAAATCAGTTGCATTTCAAAAATCGATTTGAAGCTGTGGGAGCACGTAGAGGGAAGACTCGCTGTGCATTTCTTTAAAATTTAACAAGATAACCACCTACATACAATTATTTGTTTGCTCGACATTATAGCAAAGGTTTGTCTCAGTTTAACTTTTCCTTAATAAATGCACTTTAACGGTCAAATCAGCTGCATTTCGCCGTGCTGCCCAGGAGAAATGCAGCTGATTTGACGTTTGCTCCAGTAGTTCCAGAGCGAGACGAAGGTGACTTGATATGGCAAGCCAAGTGTCTCAGTAATAGCCACTTTTACCTATTAATAAGACAGTTGGCTTGCTATATTGCTCGAGGGCGCTCTAGTGGCTGAAAATGATAGTGTTCAATATTTTCCGTCAGAATGAATTAAATCATCAGATCTCAGCCAAAAATCGGGCTATAAATATGGAAAAAAAAAACATATATTAGTCACTTCAGTGTATAAGTCGCAGGACTTGCAAATTTATGCAAAAAGGTGTGACTTATATGGCGAAAAATATGGTACAAACACTTTGTGGTCATAGGGGTTTCATGAAAAATCATCAGAAAAAATGGTTAAACTTTTTCAGTGGGAATCAAGCAATTCTGACACGCTTTACCCTGAGCATTTAGAGGTGGAATACAGTTTATTCCATTTCTCCAAAATGAAGCCTGGAAAATGTAAAAGATGGATAAAGGATGTTGGCCAACTTCATGAGCTGCTGAATACAAGGATTGACATGGACTACCACTTGTTCGTATATACGAAGGTAACTGCAAGGAATTCTTACATTTGTCATAATTACATTGTGTGCTTAATGGTTAAATGAAATGTTAACGCTTAAAGGTAAATGTGCTTTGTTTTGTGTGTTTTGTAGGCAGATATACAGAACGGTATGTTGCAACTTCTGGTTGCACAACTTTACGCTTTGTTTGCTATGCTTAGTTAAAACTAAACCGATTTTGCACAAAGCGTTTAAAAAAATAGGTTGTGTAAAGTTAAATTTACACTCTTAGTACTGAATTTCACTGTAAATTCTTGCCTTGCGTCACTCTGTGGAATGAAAACATCTTCTTATGTAACTATTTTAAGTCATTAGCATCTTTGAAAACAATTTTTGCCTGTATTCTTTGAAAAATTAAAAACGTTCAAGACAAAACTATGACTGTATTCTTTGCTTTAATGTTGGCTGATAAGGCAAAAATGCCTTGGGTAAAACGCCGTGAGCTTCACTACCTCCACCAATACAGTTATATTGTTTGTTTGTCGGAGGTTAGCTCACCGGGTTACATTTGTGTTTGGGCGACACTATCTTACTGTCAATTATCTGTCAACAGAACTAAAGAGAACATTGTTCAGTTTAAGAAAAGAAAAAGGCTGATTTACTCCCCTCCAACTTCTTCCACATTAATGGCTTTCATTTGGACAGCATCAACAAAAACACGTGTTGAGCCTTCTGTACAACAAAAAGGATCTCTCTTAGACTCAGCACCACACAGTTGGAAAAAAAAACTCAATAGAGGATGAATTTACTCATGGTACTGAAGTGTATGTGAAACGTAGCTAAACATATTTTACCACCTTTTACAAACGGCATGACGGAGCATCCTGACTAGCTTCTTGGTATCACAACCACAGCGTGAACTGCAAAAAAAAAAAAAACTGCAACATGTGGTTAAAACGATTGCAATCTATCTCATTTCCTGTAGGGCCATTTATAGTGGAAAATGCAAGAATAAAAAATATATCCGTATACTAAAATATCCCTTTCACACTGCCCACAAGCATTTATCCTCCCATCATCTGGAAGATGATACCATTCCACTGCATCACAAAACACCTGTAATGTGCAACAGCTTCAGCCCTCCGGCGATACAGCTGCTGTAGCTCCAATAACACTTTCAATGGAGCTCCAGACACAAGTAATGTTGTCCATGTGTTTAACAAACTGATGAAGTTGTAATTTATCCATTTTTTACGTTATGTTGAAAACCATTTTAAACATATGAAACTGAGACATCTCTTACAATAGCAGAAAATCACACATTCATTTTAATTTTAAAAATGTAAAGATTAGTGTCAAAGTTTTAGACATTAGTATATTCTAGAGTTCTGCTCTTCATAGCAAAATAAAATATATACATGTAACTCCCTTGCAAGTTAAAAAATATGCTTTCCTGAATACAACTAATATTAACGATCAAAAAACTGTCCAATAAAACTCAAGTCAATTCAATAATTTTAAAAAACATGAGTAAAACAGACTTAAAATATTTAGAATTTCTTTGATTCAATAACAATCCAAAAACTGCACTTGTAGAAAATACAGGCTGGAGGTTTTACAGCTTGTTTGGTTCACGTGTGTGGCTTAAATGTGTGACCCATGTTTTTATTACCATCTTATATTTTTATGAAATATGGTGTGTCTGTGAGTGTCTATGAGAAAATGAGAGAGAGAAAATACAAGTGAAGCAACTGTCTTCATTATTAAACCAACTAGATCTACCAAAATCACCCACTTGTACCCAAATGAGTGAAACGTGACTTGACATGAAAAAAGTGATTACTGCCACTTACAACTCGTAACTTTTTTGTCAAAAGGAAATTCATCCTGTGAAAATGGGTGGCAGCAGGTGGTTTTAAGACTCAAGGATCAGTTCCTTGATCCTTGAAAACTATTTGTTAAAGCACACTAAAGCCACATAAACAACAAGTTTATTTGATGCCATGTATACTGTGTTCTACATAAGCTAAACAATGATATAGAAAACAACTTATCAGGTATTTATAACACAAAAATGAAGCATAAACTACATAGAAAATAGCTCAAAAGTTGTATCAAAATTCCTCTATTAAAAACCACACATAAATCCAAATATTAATAAAGCTGCAATCACCCACAGTTTAAATTTATTGGTAAGTTAAAGTGTAATGTCAGACAACATTGTGCTTTTACAGAAATGTGGTGCACACATTAAAGCTTTATTTTATATTTTCTGTAAACATGATATTGTTGACTGAGGAGGAAGAGAGGAGTAAACAAAGAGGAATAAATGGAAGAAATTATTTTATAAGCCACAAGTTCCCTGACATCAGGGCTTAATTTGAGCCAGATCCTGTTGGAACAGGATCTGGGAACACTTTTATTTTGACAGTGTCCATTCCGGTAGCTGTTTGCTTGGATCCGGTAAATCTCAGGCTACTAATAATAAAGTAATGAACAAATACTGCCTTGAACGAATAAAACTAATATTAGATATGTAATCTGAAAATAATTACACAAACACTCATTTTAAACACAACAGCCACTTACAAGCTCCTTAATTTCACATACGAGCTGCCACTAAATCTCTGCCCCATAAAGAGTGGTGGGGGTGAGTGCTGAGCTAACCAGACAGTCACACACGGGCAGGAGCTCACAGGTGGCAGCAATGAACAGACAGGAGATGCCTGGAGGTTTCACATGTGGAGTCTGACGGTGACTTCAGCGGAGAAGAGTCGACTCAGAACCGTCAAGTAAGTGGGGGTAGAATGCTTGACAGAAGTGGAGTGTTTACAAATGTAGATGATGTAGATGTTTAACAACCCATTAAAATACACCAAAATGTAGGAAGTCACATCTACTTTGTTCAAAATTTTCTGGTGGAAGACCCTCAGACCCTCAGACCCCACCCTCCACCCTGCTCACTACTTGCATTCTGGCATCAATTGGTTTACAA